ATAACGTCACTGTTCTAGACTAAACTGTGTTTATTCTCTCACTCATAGACAAGTGGGATCAAACATGGCAAACGTAATCAGATATTTCTTACGGGTCTTGTTCTTGGATACGGAGCCCCCTCCTTGAGGTAGCTATAGAAATAATTTGGGATAATGGAAGAGTTAGATCGGTACACTGAGTTCTATGGTGGTGGTTATATGTAATACAACAATGATGGTGGTTATATGTAACACAACAATGATGGTGTTTTTATGTAACACAACAAGGATGGTGTTTTTATGTAACACAACAATGATGGTGTTTTTATGTAATACAACAATAATGGTGTTTTTACGTAACACAACAAGGATGGTGTTTTTATGTAATACAACAATGATGGTGTTTTTGTAACTCAACAATGATGGCGTTTTTATGTAACACAACAATGATGGTGTTTTTATGTAACAATGATGATGGTGTTTTTATGTAACACAACAATGATGGTGTTTTTATGTAACAATGATGATGATGTTTTTGTGTAACACAACAATGATGGTGTTTTTATGTAACAATGATGATGGTGTTTTTATGTAACACAACAATGATGGTGTTTTTATGTAACACAATGATGATGGAATAATGCCTGTGTTACTATGTAGTATGACTATAATAATGCACCTAACAGTGATTCCCTGTACCATCAATAAAGATTCTCTGAAATATAAATCGAAAACAGTGACGTTATGTTACATCAGTCTAGAACAGTGACGTTATGTTACATCATTCGAGAACAGTGATGTTATGTTACATCAGTCTAGAACAGTGACGTTATGTTACATCAGTCTAGAACAGTGACGTTATGTTACATCATTCGAGAACAGTGATGTTATGTTACATCAGTCTAGAACAGTGATGTTATGTTACATCCCAACATGGCAGCCCCGGGATCGCGAGGAACATAAAATCCTATTTAAGATTCGGGTTCAGCGAGTCTGAGAACCCACTCCTAGACCCTTGTCATGCCTTCTGAGCACATTGTAAATGCTACCTTATGTAAAGGGTTAAGCCATATATTTAAGGACACCCCTGGTCACCCCGAGTCTGCATACCAAGTATGGTACTGCTAGCTCCATAACTGTGGGAGAAATTCACGAACAAACAAAAACATCCAAATGTATTCATATAGGGTTGTGTTAGTCTTCATTATAGACTTCCTTCAGTTTTATCAAATTAATTTGGTCTAACAATGAACGATACTTGTGACCCTAGAGTTGGCGGTCGTGATGTTAACTAGCTACCTTCCCTCTACTCTATCACTTCAAAATTAGAGACTGTCTAGCCATCATGTAGCTTTGCTCTAAATTTAACAAACAAAATAGAATATTTAAAGTTTATAACATCTATCAACATTCTTAAAAATAAGTCACTAATGTATAGTTGATGTGAGAGAAAAGTAACTGATTAATATTTGGGTCAAACGAACCCTTGCCCCAAAGTTAATCATTATTTACTTACATTGATTTTATCCATTCTTTGGTCTATTCATAAATAAAAAAATTCATAATAATATAATTATCTTTCAATGAATATTTTCATAATAATATAATTATCTTTCAATAAATATTTTCATAATAATATAATTATCTTTCAATGAATATTTTAATAATAATATAATTATCTTTCAATGAATATTTTAATAATATAATAATTATCTTTCAATGAATATTTTAATAGTATAATAATTATCTTTCAATGAATATTTTAATAATATAATAATTATCTTTCAATGAATATTTTAATAATATAATAATTATCTTCTGATAAACATTTTAGTAACTGAAGATTAAGTATATTTTGTCGTCAACTCAAATATACAGACGATTTTGTTTATGAGAGGATACTTTTTAAGAACTTTGATTTTTGGAACTTTTACCATATTTTTAAAGCTGTGATAATAACTTTCATTATTTGATTAAATCTCTTGAAATAGTTTTCATTATGTGGTTTTCCAGAAGCGTTTGATTAATTTTTTTTTTTTTTTTTTTTTTTTTTGTAATTTAGACTTGATTATATATCTAATTGGTAAAAGTTATGTTACGTCTTTGCGCTAGGCCTTATATGACGAACCTGAAGATACCGAGATCATTCAGAAAAATATTGAACAACGGCCGTCAACCAATGAGCTTGCTAAGCCTTTTCCAGTAAAAGCATCAACCGAGTTATCAACCGTTACATCTCCTGTCACTAACATCTCTTCCTTAGCAGCTGTAGCAGCAACAGGACAGCTGTCATTAAGTCAGGTACTGTCTGTTCTTGTCTTTTTCAAAAGGAATTTTTTTTCTTAGATAAACCGTCGTCTGTGAATTAGAATGAGGTTAAACCTGTATATTTGGAATTATTGTCATTTTTACAATATAGTTTCTCTGATCTCATTTTTTCTAGTAATTTTTTTTAAAACTAACACTCTACTAAAACTGAAGAGCAAGTGTTTACCCTTCTTGACTCACGTTTATTTAATATTTTGTTGGTCCTGCTTATTTCCAAACAAGTAAAAACTCTCCAAAATATTCAGTAAAGGTAATAAGTTTCCTCTCGACATGCTACAGTCTTTAGTAAGGAAGGGAAACGAACATATAATGTATATACATGATTCTAATAGTTGTGTACGATTTGTATATATTGTTACATCTCCGTTTGTTAATTAATTTTCTGTAACTTCGTTCCGACGAAACTTTAGCGACACAAGTCCTTACTTAATAAAACTGGTTTATTCTTTCTGAATATAACTTTACGATACACTTGATTTTAACATTCGCGCTAAAACAAACGCTATAACAACGAATGTTAACTTCAACAATACTATCTGACTGCCGATCAATTACTCACTACCTACACACATATTGTCCCGCCACGCTGTCACCATCCTATATATATACCAGACTATCCCCCAATCTAGGAAGGTTCGAGAAAGAAGTGGCGTGACACTAGTTACGTGACCTCGCTGACGCAATAATATTTATTAAACCTTTTGTGATCACATTTATGATGTAATATATATGTGTGTAAACAATAAAATAATGAATATTCATAAGAATATATTTTTCGAATAAGACATTGAGATAAGCTTAAACATTAAATATAATGTAACTTTCGACAAAACCTATCGACTATTGTTGTGGTTATATCATGAGACAATACATCACAATACTTATTTACGTTATTGACGCTGTGCCAAAATACACTCTGATTGGCCACTTTTACAAGAACCCCACATTTGAAGAACACTATTTACATTTGCAAAATAAAAGATTAAAGTAACAGCTTGAGTCTCATAAAGTTAAACTATTTAAAGTTAAAATGTCCTAACTACTTTTCTTCACATGTCAAGATTTTTAATAACAGGACCACGTGGTATATGTAGTCCTAATCACAGAGTGGACAATACACTTTTTATGGCACCTTCTGGAGTCTGTACAGCAGTGGGTAAGAACAAGGATCTCTTAAACTTTCAACAAAGCATAATATTGAATGTCAATCTGATAGGATTGTCGTTATCAAGTACCGTTTCTTTGACCAGCTTTTTATCAGTGACAGTCGAAAGGAAACACGTCTACCATTAGTAAAAACAGTAGCTACGAACATCTGATGAATCACTAGAGGAAACACGATTGAACAAGCTTATATGATACAACTGACGTCAGACCGCGTTCCAATTAATCAACTTTTTAAACAGATGTCAGAATTCGATATATCCAACAGTAGTCAGGATTCTATATCTCCAACATTGGTCAGGATTAGATATCACCAACATTGGTCAGGATTCTATATCTCCAACAGTGGTCAGGATTCGATATCTCCAACAGTAGTCAGGATTCGATATCTCCAACAGTGGTCAGGATTCGATATCTCCAACAGTGGTCAGGATTCGATATCTACAACAGTGGTAGGATTCGATATCTCCAACAGTGGTCAGGATTCTATATCTCCAACAGTGGTCAGAATTCGATATAGCCAACAGTGGTCAGAATTCGATATAGCCAACAGTGGTCAGGATTCAATATCTCCAACAGTGGTCAGAATTCGATATAGCCAACAGTGGTCAGGATTCGATATCTCCAACAGTGGTCAGGATTCGATATCTCCAGAGTGGTCAGGATTCGAAATTTCCATAGTGGTCAAAAGTTGATAGTCTTCAACAGAGGGCCGGGATTTCATAGTTACCAATAGTGGACAGAATTCAATATTTCCAACAACGCCATTCGGATGATATTGGAAATACTCATATGACAGACGACAGCTAGATCAAAAACACTTAAAGAAGATATAAACAAGACACGTGGCTCCATTTGTGCTTAGAACACAAACTGTAGTCACTGAATGACAAGAAGCACGTAACATGACCTGATGAACCGTGTATCAACCTTTCTAAACTGACCACTTATGAAAATATAAAAATAAATGAAGTATATGGCCTGCTTGTGTTCTAGTAGATGTAGTGGAAGTTATGCGAGGAATGTTATCGTGGGGCAGAGGTTGCTTTCTTTCGTAGCATTAGAAGGACGAATAGCATACTGAGAATACATGACAGCAATCATGTCTGGATATGATGTGCAATGTTGCATTTCTAACACGATTCTTCAAATATTAATATAAAGACTGATCACAGTACTGACACTGTATTGACGCTACATTGTCTTTATAAAGACTACTCATAGTACTGACACTGTACTGATGTAACACTGTCTTTATAAAGACTGATCAAAATCAGTACTATGATCAGTCTATATAAAGACAGTGTAGCATCAATACAGTGTCAGTACTATGATCGGTCTTTATAAAGACAGTGTAGCATCAATACAGTGTCAGTACTATGATCAGTCTATATAAAGACAGTGTAGCATCAATACAGTGTCAGTACCACTGTATTGATACTAAACTGGCTTTATAACGACTGATCATAATACTGACACTGTATTGATGCTACACTGTCTTTATAAAGACTGATCATAGTACTGACACTGTATTGATGCAACATTGTCTTTATAAAGACTACTCATAGTACTGACACTGTATTGATGTTACACTTTCTTTATAAAGACCGACCATAATACATTATTAAGGTGTAGAAATGTATTTTCTTTCTGTATATAATAATTTAATACTACAAGATGTGGTTATGGTATATAATAATCTAATACTACAAGATGTGGTTATGGTATATAATACTCTAATACTACAAAATGTGGTTATGGTATATAATAATCTAATACTACAAGATGTGGTTATGATATATAATAATCTAATACTACAAGATGTGGTTATGGTATATAATAATCTAATACTACAAGATGTGGTTATGGTATATAATAATCTAATACTACAAGATGTGGTTATGATATATAATAATCTAATACTACAAGATGTGGTTATGATATATAATAATCTAGTTCTACAACATGTGGTTATGATATATAATAATCTAATACTACAAGATGTGATTATGTATATAATAATCTAATACTACAAGATGTGGTTATGGTATATAATAATCTAATACTACAAGATGTGGTTATGGTATACAATAATCGAATTCTACAACATGTGGTTATGATATATAATAATCTAATTCTACAAGATGTGGTTATGGTATACAATAATCGAATTCTACAACATGTGGTTATGATATATAATAATCTAATTCTACAAGATGTG